ATCAAGGTTGTGATTTTTCAAATGGAATGTCTGAAACTTTATTGCATATTTGGATAAACCAATTCAAAATAAGAAAATTGATGTAGCATACTATGGGGTTTTGGTAATTAGCTACTGAGATGTAAGGTGCTGTGTCCAGAAAAACCACTTCGGCAACCCCTCAATCCGCTATTTTGAAATTTAGAGTGTTGAATGTTGTACCAAAAAAAAAAACACACACCTCAGCTCTTATTTTATTTGTTACTTTTTCGAATTTTAATTTTTACTCATACAGGGTAGTCAAAAACGCAAATTGTAGTTTATCTCAAAAATTTCAAAAGCATCACCCTGTATATTTGTGTAAGTTTGGATTTAATTTTTATAAGCTTTTTTTGGTACTAGACACATAAGGGTTTTTACGGCTATTTTTAGGTTCTTTTATGGAACGGCATGATTCCCTAAAATATCGCATCATGCTTGGAAACAAATAAATTGTTGATTAGTTACAGTCAAAATTGGCTTTGTGAGCATTATAGTAAAAACGTGTTTGCACATGAATTTTTCTAAAGAAGAAATAGTGAATATGGTTTCCTAGCATCTCGGATTTATAAGCAACGGTACCCATCCAAGGCCGGAAACGTTTTCCACACTACGGGAACGTTTTGGATCAAGTGGGACAGTGGAATATAGTAAATGTATAAATAATCCAAGTATCGCCAATAAGGCGAATCAGTTGGAGGTTCTATTAAAGTTACAGGAAAGTCCCCATTAAGTGCACGGCAAATTGGAACAGAAACTGATATATGCAGAACTTCTATCCAAAGTAGTAGAATAATGCTAAATAAAGTGAGTGAAGATCCTACTTTCCTGGATAAGGTTCTTTTTAGCGATGAGCCAACTTTTAACGGCATAGATGTTGTCAACAGGCATATCATGCACTGTTATGCGACGGAAAACTCTTACTGGGTTAGGCAAATAGATTTCCAAAATAAATGGAGAAATTTTTGAGAAAAAGTACAGTTCGCGTTTTTGACCACCCTGTATGAGCAAAAATGAAACTTCGAAAAAATAACATATACAATAAAAGCCGAGGTGTGTAAGTTTTTTTTGATACAAAATTCAGCACTCCAAATTTCAAAATGGCGGTTTGAGCGGTTGCCGAACTAGACGGTTTTTCTGGACAAAACACCTTACATCTCAGTAGCTAATAACCAAAACCCCATAGTAGGTTATATCAATCTTCTTTTTTTGATTCTTTTTAATTGGTTTATCCAAATACGCAATCAAATTTGAGGCGTTCCATTTAAAAAATCACAACTTTGATATGTAGCTCAAAATTGGGACACCCTGGATAATTGCCAATATTTTATAAATGTGCCCTCAAATATCACGTATAACACGCCATGATTTTCCCAAAATGTATTTGTTTATGAGTAATATACCGTCCACGCATGGATGAGCCACCCTGTATATTAAAACTTTTGTATTTGAACTAAATGTATGTTTCATGGATGTAACGTATATGTTCATTCGAAAACCACCCACCACGAATTTATCGGAGACTACTGATTGAAAGAAAAAACGCCGAGACACGTCATAAAATTTGTCAAAGGGGACAACTTTTTTACCAAAAACTACTTCACCCCCTTTCACCCTCTGCCTCCCAGGGTCATCCCCTTAAAAATTTGAAATGACAGGGGGTATCGAGTAATAGCTTGTTTAAAAAGTCATTCGAATTTCTTTGTTTTGACGTTTGATTTTTCAAAATAGGTCTATTCGTTCTCAAGAAAATTAGAAAAAGCTTTATATATCTTAATTTGTTCAGATAGGAAACAAAAACACATACGAAAATACCACTTTTTATTTCAATAAGTGTTCAAAAGATTGCCCGTTATTGGCCAAACAATGATATAGGCGATGTTCAAATTCCTGACGGACATTTTCAAAAACATATTGTGGTATATCATGGCAGCTTTCGATGATGCGTTGACGAAATTCATCCAAACTTTTAGGTTGGGGGTAAGCACAATAGATTTCAAATGGCCCCATAGAAAAAAGTCTAATGGCATCAAATCAGGAGATCTAGCAGGCCATTCTATAGGCATTCTTCGCCCTATCCATTTATCTGGAAACTCGTCGTCTAACCTTTGCCGGACCGGAAGAACATAGTGAGGAGGGGCGCCGTCTTGCTGGATATATACCTATTTCAGCCTCATCAAGTATATATAGGGTGTTCATCCTCTTCGATCTGGTGTTCAATGGTTTCAGTGATAACCGGATTCATGCTATTTTCCAACATATCCAATTAAATGTCTCCATTCAAATTTCCATTAATACACAATGGCCCAATCACTTTGCTTCCTAAAATGCCTGCCCATTCTTTAATTTTTTGGGGGTACTGGGTATGCCCTTCTACAAAAACATGAGGATTTTCATTCCTCCAATACCTACATTTATGCTTATTAACAAATCAATTTAGATAAAATGTGCATCCATCACTGAAGCAGTTATTCTTTACATGAATGGTATTATCATTAATCGCTGCAGTCATTTGTTCACAAAACTCATCTCGCCTATCGAAATCATCTTCGGTTAACTCTTGCAATACTTTCATTTTGAATGGACGAAATTTATGGAGTTTAGTAACTATCTGTACTGAGCCTAATAGACCAGTCGCAGCAACATTTTGCGTTAATCAATTATTAGGATTTATTCCAAAATGACTCAAAAATTCAACTTGAGCGGCTTTATCCAAAATTCTCCTATGATATTTCTTTTTTGTTTGCAACAGGTTGAGTAAATTTAGTAACAAGATCCAAAACATACTTATGCGAAGTTATCTTTGCTAACGGCAACATTTTGAACAATTATTGAAATAAAAAGTATCTTTTTGTTTTCTATCTTAACCCAACTGAGATAAATAAAGATTTTTCTAATTTTCTCGAAAGCGGATCGACAGGTTTTACAAAATCAAACATCAAAATAAAGAACTTTGAAAGACTTTTCAAACAAGCCATTACTCGTTACCCCTTGTCATTTAAAATGTTTAAGGGAATGACCCTGGGGCGCCGAGGGTGAAGGGGGTGAAGGAGTTTTTGGTTAAAAAGTTGTCCCCCTTAACAAATCCTTTGACGTGTCTCGGCGATTTTTTTTAATCAGTGGTTTTCGATAAATCCGTAATGGGAAGTTTTCAAATGAACAGCCTGTAGAAAACTGTACGAACCATAGGTTTTATAACGTTATATCTGATGTTCTGCTGCAAGTAATCCATATCATCAAAAAAAAAATTACTGACAAAAAAAGCACTTCTAGTCTGGAACAACGTTTAAGTGACTTTCTGAACTAATTTATTTTACATCAACGCTTCTAAGTAAAACCGAATTAGGAAAACCCCACGTAATCATTACTCGTATCCATTTCATAAGCCTCTTAAAGGTACAGGACGGCTTTGTTTAATCCCATTCAAACCTTTCGCGAAATACCCTGTTACTAGGTCTTGTATACCAGGTTACAATATGCAACAAGTGGTTCCAGTGGCGTAGCTACCTTGGATGGCACCCGGTGCGGAAGTTGGTGGTGTCACCCCATCGAAAGTCAAAAGCAATAAATTTTATATGATTTATAAACGTCATGGATCATTCAATATTTATATTTAAAATATTGAACGAACAACAAGACAGACAAAATATTTTTAGCTTACAATTACAATCTCTTCTTTGTACCTTTGATAGCTGCAAAGTCAGAAATAACTTCATCAAAATATATATTTTGTATTGCCTCGTGTCCGATGGCTAATACGTATACCAAGATTACTAAGCCGCGATTTGGTAGTTGTTGCCCGCAGATAGTCTTTATTAATTTTAGTTTACTGAAACTCTTTGTACATAAAGCTACGGACACGCAAACCGTCATGAACAATTTTTGTGTAATCATAAGATTTGTAAGGGATTCTTTAAAATCCCGTTCTACAATAAACTTTAAAAAATTCAGAGATACCCAATCTGAAACTGTAATGTTCAAGTGCAGTTTTGGTATCTCCAAAGGTAATTCTGTTTCTGATACCTCGTCATAAAAATCAGTAAATTTGGATGTATCTAATTTTAGTTCATTCTCCAGAATTTGTTTGTACGATCTCGAACAATGAAGCTAGGCTCTTCGTTTACATAATAGAGCTGAGCTAGTGCTTGTGGAGGAATCACCGAAGAAGACAGCTGTGCTAGCGATTTCATTTTGTTGATGTTTGTACATTGTTCTTAAAGCTGAGTCACCGGGTGGGTGTCACCCCAAACCCGGTGCGGATCGCTCCCGCCACCCCCCTTGCTGCGCCACTGGATGGTTCTCAGTTACATATACTACCTGTTTGTGCCTTTTCATTCGAATAATAGAGAATTGCACTTGAAGGTATTATTTCAGCACTTCCAGTTGCCATTCATAACACATTTACCCTAGATTGAGCAGGTACCCTTTCAACTTTGCATAAAAACCCCAGTTTTCGGGGCCATATGGTTCATTTACGCTCAAACATTTGACAAGAACGTATCCTGAAGTGAAGTGATAATTTAAGTGAACATGTTGAAGGAGGTGAAGAAATCTTTGAAAAAGCTGAAGAGGGCTTTCAGGGAACGTGGTGCAAGAGTAAGCAGCTCGACCCCTAGCACTCCAGGTAAGTGTCTTATTAATTTAAAAGTTTGAAAATATTTCTAGTTTCCAATTGGATATATTTTAATAGTAGAATGATGCAAGTCAACCACTCCTCTAGACTTTTTACGTTTAGGATATCTTTTTAATTAGATTTTGTTATTCAAAGATTCAGTGAATACTATTTTTAGAAAAAAATAAATCTCCTTTCGCACTCATTAAGCAATACAAAAGAATACGAACTGTCAAGCAAATTTTACAAGTGCAGTATTTATGAGATTGTATAAAAAACCTAGACATGCGAAATTAAGCTACTTTCTTGTTTTCGATTTAGAGTTAACCGCTAATTTTAGTGGTTAGATATTTGAGAATACAATAAAAATATGGCCTTGGATAAACTTCAAGTTTGTTGGATGATTTAATAATAAATTCATAAAAACATAGACCGGTAGTACTCTCATGTCTGTGATAGAAAAATCGTTATTCTCAAGAATATCAATATTCCTTTGGACAACCTTGTTGAAAATTATTTGAATCTAGCGTGCACATAAATAAATGTCTCAACTTTACAAAACCTCTTGCCTGATTTAAAACTGTTAGTCGCTTTTCTTGGAGCATTTGTGCCATTTCAGATTTAAGTGAAGAATTTTTCTCAATTGCTTAAATATTCCATGAAGTAGGAAATAGTTCAGATCCTTTATTGAGATATCTGTTTCAGTAGTTTCTATGTATTGCTTGAATATGACCGAACAGGTTGACATCCACGATTCATGAGATAATAATATATTTCACCCTCGACTAACTGTTATTTTATTTCCAGATAAAGCGTTAAATCTAACGCTAACCCCAGAAAAGAAAGATCGCTTTACTTATAGACGCTGGAATTCGCCGTCATTCTCAAGATTTTCTCCATTTAGAGGCGCTAGAGATCCCACGACTCCACCACCAAAGCCCAAAAGGATTTTCGTTTATAAAAGCAGCCCCGTCGTTGCTGAAATGGTAATTTTTTACAATAGTTATTTATATGACAAGGACATCAAGTGGGCGTTTAGATTCCGCGGCATGAAATGAGTCCAAGTCCTTATTACTCCCGAGATATAAAAAATTGTTGATGCGATGATTCAAAAATTATCCTCCTGAATTGATCGTACTATATTACAGTGTCAGTTATTTAAAATTGATGTATAGCAATCAGTAAATGTGATTAGTTCTTGTGGTCGAGGAGCTTAAATCAATTTGAAGATAGGGCTGCGCTAAAGTGGAAGCCCGTGGACTAAGTTCTACTTAACGCCCAGAACACTTTACTACTCAGTCTATTCCGTCTCATTCCCTCTGATACCTACGGGGCCAGGGACTAGAGCTGTGTCTTGATGGGTGCCCAAAAATCAATGCCTGATTTTTTTTCAATTTTGCAAAATAAGGCCCCTTAAACCGCAGGCTGTGCAGCATAAGACGATTTTCTATCCAGCCTTTGTTATACAGGCCCACAAAATAAAAAAGAGATATCCAAAAACATCCACCAAAAGTACCAAAATGTGTGATTTTAAAACTTCATTATTTTCAAATTTGACCAGCAACCCCCAATTCTGACTTCGTGTTCAGCGGAAAAAATAGATGGGCAAATATAGGAAGACCTTCCAGTACACATCCCTTTTTTTTGTTGAATATGATTTTTATCGATTTTGTGGATTTTCTCTAAAATTTGTCAGTGTCCCTCAAGCATGACTTCAGCGAAAAAAAAAATAAGTGGAAAAAATATAGTGGGGGCCCCAGCAGCATAACGTTTTGTTCTTTTGAGGGCTAGTGTAATAGTACACCTGGAACCAGCAGCACTTGTAAAAGTGAAAGCAAACAAAATGTGGGATACACAACTGTTGACTCTTTGTTTTTAACTATCATTCAACTGCACTGGTTTTTATGACTAATTCTTACTTTCCCCTAAGTCAGATCACTTGGTTTCCAACAGATGTCAGAGAATTTCGAATTGAAACTGGAAATGCAAACTGAACACTTAGTTTTTACATTTTTATGCGTACTAATAGCAGCATCACATTTAAAGTGAGGGCAATATTCCTGTCATTAAATTATGTAAGAATCAGAAACTAAGCTTCTGAATAGTAAACAATTTGGCTGAGGTCAGTCTTGACTACAAACCATTTGAAAAATAAATTACCAGCATATCAACATAAAACAGTAGCTAAACATGATTTTGTTTAAAGGTGGACCCAAATTGCAACGAAACAGTTCCCACTGTAAAAGAAATTGGAAACAAGTCAAAGAGAACTACAAGCGCGGTGAGTTTGAGCAGAATGAGTTCCAAGAATCTGGAATACCTCAGGTTGAAGCTGATGAGAGACGCTCAATTTGTGAAGTTGACAAATGCTTCGGAAAGGCTCTTGGACATCAAAATTCTTGGAGCTGCCGATCTTATGCAAGAACTGAAAGCGGAGAGGACTTTGTTGGAAAGTTGTAAGTGGAAAATTTATCTACATACACTGATTTTTCTAAAGTACTTGAGTATATTGATTCCCCCTCTAACTTTTTTATATGACCCTCTAGAAGAAAGGAAATGTGTATAAAAGTTATAGAGTTATCTCAGAGAAGTGGTATCGAATAGAGTAGTATTTTTTAAAGGAAACGTCATGTATATTTTTACTAAGGATGATAGTCCCTTTTTTTAATTCCAGATATATATGGTTTGTTTAACTCATTTTTATTACTTTAGTCAATAACTTTGTGTCATTTAAATATATATATTCCGGCCCATAAGTGGCTATATGGAAGCTGGTTCGAACTCATGAGTAAATTACACACAAACTTGGCCAAGCTAAAGGAAATAATGAATAATAATGATAATATATATATATATATATATACATGATCAGAAAAAATGAACTACAATTTTCCCTGAAAACATATAGGATGTTCCACACAAAAAATACATATTTATTTGATAGCACTGTTCCGAATAAAAAAACACGGTGCTCCGGGATTTAAACAATGGCGTTACTTAGTGTTAGGCCGTAATTACAAGGGCTCACTCTTGAGCCATATTTAGGTATAAAAGTTTCCGTGTCCTAAAAGTTCTGGTTCCCAGGATACATGGTGTCAAAGTTTAAATGAAATTTTTTGTTCATTTCCCAAAGATACTTGTGCCGAATTTAGCCACCGTTATTCTTTGCCGTAAGATGCTAAGATAGCATTAACTAGAATATAGTTATGAGTTCCATGAATTATAACGGCAAAAAATGTACGTGACAGGATTTTTAAAAAATATTAATTTTTTTCTTGAATTAAGCAGCTAACAATGCAAGTTTTATGTCTCTAAGTATCTCTACGTACCTTCGTTTTCGAGAAATAGAAATGGCTTCATTGCATGTCGATTTTTTTAAACAAAATTAATTTAATTTATTTGAAGATTCACAATATTTATCTCTTAAAATAAATGATCAATAACGAATTTGACATAATTATTTACAAAAAATAATCTCACTTCTAAGCAGGCTTTTGCTCTCATATTTTAACAATTTTTCGACATGTAATGAAGTTTTTTCTAATCTTTTTCCTCGAAGACGCTTGCTTAAACACATAAAAACATATTTACTTAAAAAGGTCGCTCAAAAACCTATTATGGAAGGATCTATTCGAATCTGCAATAAAATATGATTATTCTCTTTGAAAAATTAACAGATTTTGTTAATTTTCAAATGGAATTGTCGATATTTTATACATATTGGGAGTGATCCGTCCAAGGGAAGTACGGTGTAACACATTTTAGCGCTTTGATAAAATTGATTGTTGACTTACAAAGCTACTCAATGTACAAAGATGCTCAACTGATCATAAATTACTACTATTACATAAATAGCATCATAAATTTCTCATAAGGAGTTTCAGATAGCAGTGTCGCATCAGACGCATTAGTCTAATCATATACGAAAATACCCCTGCTTTGCGAAATAATTGTAACGTCTGGTTTTATTGCTGCACGTTGTTCAAAGAGGTATTCAATACATGGACGCATAAAATGGGTACACCAATTTTTGTGGGAAAACTTTTTATTCGACAACAAAAAACGAGAACACGTGTTTTTTTGGGATTCAATCGAAAGTGTTGACAGGAACGAAAAAACTTTTCATATAAGATTTTTAGGTATTTATGAGTTATACAAAATGAGACCACCCGTAAAAAGATCCGATTAATAGCAAAAAAGTTATAGCCGAAAACCGAAGTAAAACTGCAGGTCTTGGCACTTGTTGTTAATGCGACGATGGTTTCTCGCAGATATTTGAAATTCTTCAAATTCGTAGGATTCGTACTTCTAAATAACCACAACAAAATTGGAGCAGATTGTTTAAGTAGTTTTTGAGAATTTCTAATTGTTCATCCCAAAACACCTGTTTTTCGGCCATCACTACTAGTTTATTGACCAATATACAGGGTTAGTTCAAAGGACATTTTATAGCAAAATTCAGTAGTTTACCTTGCCGATATGAATCGCAAACCATTCCGGAAGATGAATGTTATTTTTATGAAAAAAAGGATGGGTTACGTTTTTTCTTCTAAAGAATTCAAACATTTCGTATTTGTGAGTAATTCGCAACAAAAGGTGATAGACACATCCACTTTGTTTTAAAATGTGTAGAGTAAGGTATGTTTTTGTAGCACATTTGTTCAATTACTCACAAATACGAAATAATTGAATTTATTTAGAAGAAAATAACCTAACCTTTATTTTTCGCATAAAAATAACATTTATCTTTCGCTTTTGCTATTAAATGCTTTTAGAACGAACCCTGTATATTACTCAATATAGTAGTAGTGGTGGTCGGAAAACAGGTGGTTTGGGATAAACAATTAAGGATTCTCAAAAAACTACTTGACCAATATAATCCAATTTTGTTGTTGTTATTTACAAGTCTCAACAAGTACCAAAACTTGCATTTTGCCTCGTTTTTCGGCCACAAAATTTTTGCTATTAGTCGGATCTTTTTACGTGTGGTCTCATTTTGTAGGTATCATAAATACCTAAGAATCTGATATGAAAGCTTTTCTCGTTCCTGTCAACAGTTTTGATTGAATCTCAAAAAACAAGTTTTCTTATTCTTTGTTGTCAACTAAAAAGTTTACCCACAATAATTGGTGTACCCATTTTATGCGTCCATGTTTTAAATACCCCCTTGAACAACTTGCACCAATAAAACCAGACTTTACAATTTGCTAATATGATTAGCCTATATTCCATTCAAAGAAATATTCCAAGATTGCACCAATCGCAATTTCGAGATTTTCAACTGCCATTTTTACACTAGAATATAGTATTTATTATTCATGCCTCGTTCCGAAATTCAACATGCTAACATAACCCGTACAAAAACGAGTAGGGGAGCCTTTTTAAGAACCACTATGCATATAGATACCCTTTACCACACATAGTGTCGGGTTATTAACAAAAGTACTGTTACTCGAAGTTTTGGTAATTTGTCTGGCATTTTTTTAATATAGTATCTATTATCTCATTAACCCAATTAATTGTTTTCTTCCAGACTTAAAGAAAAAACTCATTGAATCCAAAATCATGGCTCTGAAGAACGAAAAAGACGAATCAAAAACTGCCTCAGATAAGAAAATGAGCACGGTGAAGATATCAGAAATTAACTTTACCATAGAACCAGACTCAAGTTTCTTTAGAGACTACTGGATGATTGCTGTGACACACAACGACGATCTTTACATGTCGGAACCAATGATGCCTGATAAGGACGGAAAACTGAGCTTCAAGGATGAATTCACTGTGTTCGATTTCGAAGACTCACTTGATGTTCAAGTTGAAGTGTTCTCTATAAGGCTACATGGCGGCCGAGCTGATGACGACAGTGCCAATTGCAGTGAGGTAAGAAACCCACATGATCACAAAAGTTTTATATAATTTCAAAAAACATCAAAACATCTGTTGATTAATATTTATCTGCAGATTTTTTTTCATTCTGGAATCCAACGAAATCGGAATTAAAAGAAATCATGAACAAATCAGAGGTATCGGTTCCGAGACGATGCAATCAAATTACTAAAAGCAACACTTTGCGACTGCAGAACCCTTCACTGTTTCCGTTTCTCTAAGCAGATATAAGTAATCGTCTGTAGATACTCAGGTTCTAGCATACCATTGAAATGAGTCATAAAAGTCGTCCATAAAAAGTCCAGATCCTGACTCAATTTATTATTATTAGATAACATTTGACTATACCTTTTCGGATACTTGTAAATTTTTTTCACATTTTTTTCTATAAGTACGGGGGGTTCTATCAGTCATCAAATCTAACCATAATTGTTTCTGTTCCAGGATTGGTGTAATCTTTCATTCTACGATGATTTCAAAATCAACGGGTCACGAATAGTGAAGTCATCCTTCCAGAGTTGTGGTAAATTCACACTTACAGCCAAGTCTACGAAATCCTCGTTCAATAAGTTGACGTCAAGAATGTTGAGTGATCTATCAGCACCCTTGATGTTGAATAAGCTGTCACCAACCAAGCTAAAGGAGAATATCGGCAGATGTCTTAGTGTTGATATGTTGTGTACGATGTAAGAGGGGTGCAATAAGGGTCCAGGACCCAATCAATTCTTACCAACGAATTCGAATAGATTAGAAGGAGCCAAGCCTATATCATTACATCGCATTGTTTGCCGCCAAATTACAAAGGCCTAATGCATCATTTTGACTCATTTAACTACCATTGCCTTCATTAAGCTTTGCAAATTATCCAAGGCATATCTTCTAATACCACAACTATCTGAAACACCCGCACTTTAGAAAAATGATACTAGAAATGCAATCTCCCCATGCGCGTCAATAAAACTACATGTACTGACAGATCGTTAAGGTACTTAATCACAAGGTGATTTTCACTAAGACAGATAAATCAAATATTCTCATTGTACCAGTGTAATTGAAGCGTTTACTAATACCAAAGATCTGTCAATACATGTGGTTTTATTGGCCACAAACATGGGACAATAATCGAGATGTAAACCACAGGATAAGGCAGATGTTACATTTACTAAAAATGGCAATTTAATGACAGCACTATCAAAAAATTAGTTTATGTCAAGTTCACCTATAGTTCCTATAGTATGCACTTTCATCCTGACTACAGATAGATTTGGGAGATAAGCGAATAGTAGGCTTGCTAATTCTACCTATTCTGAATTCGTTGGTTCTTAGAGGCTTATTCTCTATGCAAGGGGTAAAAATGAAAGATGGACGTTTTTTATTGTTATCATTGTCTACAAAAATTTTATGAGAAACGGGAAGATATGAGAAACGGGGGGGAAATTAGGATGAAAAGGGGGAAATTCTGCACTTCGGTGCATGTGCTTTGGGAAGTAAAGAGAAGAGAAACATATACTCAAACTAAAACTCATATATTGGAGGGACGCGAAAGGAGGCGACGTGTTATATAACGCGTGCAAATGGCAATGGGGGTAATTTAAAACGCTAAAATTAGATGAGGCTAGTTAGTTTGACGTCATGCCTAAAGTTATAAACAGGTTAAGGCCAGCTTCGCAGAATATTTGAGAAGAAAATAAAATTATCAGCTTGAATTTAAAATATTTGCCTTACTTTACCCTATCAACTCTATCTTTTTTCTAACTGCATTTGGCAGTTCGACCTCCAACCACACTAGCGCTGCATATACCCTGGTACCGAAAGGGAAAAGTGTAGCAAAATTCTCCGCACTCTTCTGCATGTGCGACGTCCCATATTCAAAGAGACGAAACGCTTACAGTGGCGTGCGACGTGTTCAGCCGTTCTCTTCCTTTTCGGACCCGAGTATAGTGGAAGCAAAATTGAACATCGCTGTTATTCGCTTCGCGTAACTTCACATCAGTGGGAATGCAGCTTAAGACTACTCGAGTGATTACTCACTGCGTTTAACCTGTAGAGGCACTTGAGTCATTATGGCAGAAGTCAGTGATCACTCAGGAAGCACTTTTTTTATAAATCTATCCAATATTGTACATATAAATGTGTATGAGTGCAAGAAATATATAATTTGTAAGAAACAGCTTGTTTAACTTTGAATAAATATTTTAATAAAGAACGTTGAAATGATTTATAGTTAGTGCGTCTTACTTGCAAATGTTATCGGTATATTGCCGATAACTGAATTTATAAGCCCTAATGTCGGCGTACCGTAACGCTGCCATTTTATACAAACGTCACGATGCGTGACGCATAATCTAACCGAAAATTGCATCCTTTTTTAAATATGACAAAAGGTGATTTGGATTTTGCATAAATGGATGATGCAAATGAGCCTGACACCTTCGCAAATTAGGATTGATTTGTTGCATAATTGCCGTTTTGAAAGTCAAAAAACTGCATGAGCTACAAAATTAGACCAGAAATAGTTATAGCTATAAAACTAGATGCAGGATCTTCATCACAAAACATATGTTAATATCAAACAGAAAAGAAAAGCATGTGGAGAAAACAGCTGATCCCTTTCAACAAACACGTGATTTGCTGGCTCCCTTTCATTTGGGAGTTTATAAATCGACCTTTAGTGTATGAAATATAATATGGTTTGAGATATGTTATTTTAACTTTGAGGGCATGTGAGGATTGCCACTCCTTAACAGATCTGCCACTACACAAAAGCCCACGAAAAGGCTTCAAGTAGGCTGACTGTACTACGCAATGCTGCCATCAGTTCATAGCACACTATTGGTACCCACCCATTTGACAATATCGCGATCTAGAAATTCAGGATTATCTAGCTACCAAATTACATCTAAGATAGACGCATTCTATCACACTTGAAAATCTTGTTGAAGTATTGATCCACAATTTATTTTTAGAACGCGCGTGTTCACATTTTATAGGAAAAACTATGATATTATTTTGACATATAAGAGACCCATTTATAAGTAAAATACATGTGAAGGTCATATCCGACTTGTGAATCAAATTACAGTACAGGATAAGTAGAAATAATAATATGTGTAAAGTTATAATGAAAACTGCTGAAGATGTCAAAATTATTAAGGAATACATTTTTGGGAGAAAAACCCATTACTGATTACTATTGGCAAGAGGTTATATATAACATCGATGCAGCGACTACCTCAACGACTTAGTAAGTTGTTTTTGCTTCGTCAATTTTTTTTTGTGTAATTTTGCGACTTTAGTATCATCTCTAGCTCCTAATAATGGTTGCATTGTTGACCGAAAGCTTGAAGAAGTAAGAGTTTAAGGGGCACTCCTATAGCTTAATTTTGCTGCAGTACCCAAGGTTAGTTGTTGCTTACTAACTATACTAAGTGACATAAATCCGAACACCCAGTTTAAATGGTTTTATTTTAATAAAATTTTGTATAAGTACTTAGTGAAGCATAATAAGTAAATGATAAAAATTTCAAAATGATTGCACTGCTTTAAAGCCCTTTGATCTTTAATAATGTGTGGATGCACCCTGATGTGCTACGCATTCTCCAACGCGCCTAGGAATGCTTCTGATCAGGTGGTCAATGTCCTCCTGTGGTATCTCATTCCAGGCATCCACCAACTCCTCTCAAAGTGCTTCTAGAGTCTGAGGAGGACGTTGCAAATTGAGCAATCTCCTACCCATCATATCCCACACGTGCTCAATTGGGGATAAGTCGGGAGATCTTGGTGGCCATGGTAACAATGTGACATCATTATGTTGAAAGAAGTCTATTGTGACTCTTGCAACATGTGGTCGGGCATTATCTTGTTGGAAAGTTGGATCTGCCAGGGTGTCAAGATAGGGTAAAAGATGGGGTTCTAGAACTTCGTGGATATAACGCTGCGCGTTCATGTTACCTCTGATGAAGATTAAAGGTGACCTGGAACCATAAGCTATAGCACCCCAAACCATAACCCTTACACCGACGTAATCGCCTTGAGTGGTGCAGACAACGGTCACTCTGGGATCAGCAATGGAACAGTATTGTCTTTAGTGACGAGTCCCGATTTTGTTTAGGCATGCACGATGGTCGTGCCAGGGTTAGAAGGCGACGTGGTGAAAGGAGGAATCCACAGTTTTTTGTTGAAAGAGATGTTCATCACACTGTTGGAGTTGGAGCCTGGAATGAGATACCACAGGAGGACATTGAGCACCTGATCAGAAGCATGCCTAGGCGCGTTGGAGAATGCGTAGCACATCAGGGTGCATCCACACATTATTAAAGGTCAAAGGGCTTTAAAGCAGTGCAATCATTTTGAAATTTTTATCATTTACTTATTATATGCTTCATTAAGTACTTATACAAAATTTTATTAAAATAAAACTGTTTAAACTGGGTGTTCAGATTTATATGTCACTAAGTATATATGAATATGTACTCCCTTGTATACAACATTTACACTGCTGGATTATGTTTAAAAGGAACACCAAAAGAAAATTCTTTACGGGAGATAGAATCCAGATGAGCCGCGCCACTTCTTGGCTACTTACTGGTTGCTCATATTTTGCCCAAACGCTGTATATAATCGAATGCTGACTTACACGTGATCGACCAATTTGAAAGGAAATGAGTTATCGTGACATAACAGTATGCATACGAGTATAGCCTCGCGGACTTTTTTGCATCATGCTCATGAGTTGCCAAAAAGCACGAGACAGCTGTCTATCTGTCGTTGGACTGACGAAAGCTATATTAATAGTCTGTTCAATAGTGAGTAGACCGTATCTGCTATACAACCAGAATCGGTGGCATCTAGCGGCCACAGTGGTGCCTGGCTGTCAACAACAGGCAGCCTGCTGTCTCACTCTCGCATCTCATTTCCGCAAAATTTTCAATTTCGTCTCTTGTTTTTAGATGACAACGAAACTTGGAGAACTTCGGTCGCTGTCAAATAAGGTGAAACCTCAGGCGGCCTAATTCCTTGTTAGAAATATGTCTTGTTAGGGTTACCCGTCCTATCGTATAAATCATGTCGGTAGCGAAGGTTCTAACAATGAATATTTTTCAGAAAAAAATTGAAAATTCAAAACATGATCCTTTTCGTATTCCAAATCTTTTACTCACCATTTCAAAACAATAATCATGAAGCTACGTATGAATGTTTACATAAGAGTAGAAGGAGATAATGCAGACCCTAAAACTAAAAAGCCAAAGCAGTATACTATATTCCACGAATGACCGATGTAGATGCAAACATATTATTTCCAGTAAACTGAGTATCAGCATCCTCAAACTATGGACTAATTAACAGATACATATAAAGGCACTATAAATATTAATCTTGTGTGACATTGACTGGGTGACTTTTTGTTTACATAACTCGATGAAGTCAGTACACTTCAATAAGTGTATTATTGGAATATTTAACGTTATTAATGTTTCAATGGAATTCTTCAGTGCAAGTATGTGGTAATTGGATGTTTCTGAATGTATTCAGGTGTTAACGCATTCACGAGAGATAGAGAGAGTAAGTATAATACAACACATTTCGCTGCATAATAAGAACCTACGAAATGGTATAGAAAATGACATCAACATTTATAAAGACTAGTAGATCAGGAATAAAATAGGTGACTGAATAATGTTTGCTTCTAT